ATGCCGTTCTTCCTTCACCCCCCACATAATGCCCTCGACCCCTACAATGCCTCTCACCCCCACATGATGCCTCCACCCCTACCTAATGCCCCTCACCCCCAACATAATGCCCTCGCCCTACCTAATGCCTCATCTCTCCCACATAATGCCTCTAGCCCTTCCAATTATGAGGTGAATATTCGAATATAAAAACGCTGGGACCCCCTCCTCTCCCTCCTCCCCTCCCCCCTGCCTCTCCCCCCCTGCCCCCTCTCCTCCTGCCCCTCTCTCCCTCCTGCCCACCTGCCTCTCTCTCCCCCCCTGCCCTCTCTCCCTCCCGCCCCTCTCCCCCTCTCCCCCTGCCCTTCTCTCCTCCCCTGCCCCCCCTGCCCCTCTCTCCCCCCATCTCCTCACCCCTCTCTCCCCCTGCCCCTCTCTCCCCCCTCTCCCCCTGCCCCTCTCCCCTGCCCCTCTCCCCCCCCCCTGCCCCTCTCTCCCCTCTGCCCCTACCCCTCTCTCCCCACCTCTCTCCCCTCCCGCCCCTCTCTCCCCCCCTGCCCCTCTCCCCCCTGCCCCCCTCTCCCCCTCCCCCCCCCTGCCCCCTCTCCTCCTGCCCCTCTCTCTCCCCTCCTGCCCCCTGCCCCTCTCTCCCCCCCTCTCCCCCCTCTCCCTCCCCGCCCTCTCCCCCCCTGCCCCTCTCTCCCCTGCCCCCTCTCCCCTCCCCCCTGCCCCTCTCTCCCCTCCTGCCCCTCTCCCCTCTCCCCCTCCCCTCTCTCCCCTCCTGCCCCCCTCTCCCCCTCTCCCCTGCCCCTCTCCCTCCTGCTCCCTGCCCCCTCCCCCCTGTCCCTCTCTCCCCTGCCCCTCTCTCCCCCTGCCCCTCTCTCCCCCCCTCTCCCCCTCCCCTCTCTCCCTCCTGCCCCCCGCCCCTCTCTCCCCCATGCCCCCCCTCTCCCCCTCTCTCCCCTGCCCCTCTCTCCCCTCCCCTGCCCCTGCCCCTTCTCCCTCTCCCCCTCTCCCTCCCGCCCTCTCTCCCCTGCCCCTCTCCCCCTCTCCCCGCCCCTCTCTCCCCTGCCCTCTCTCCCCTCTCTCCTGCCCCTCTCTCCCCTCCTGCCCCTGCCCCTCTCTCCCCTCTCCCTCGCCCCTCTCTCCCCCCTGCCCTCTCCCCCTCTCCCCTGCCCCCTCTCTCCCCCTGCCCTCTCCCCCTGCCTTCTCTCCCTCCCGCCCTCCAATGCTCAAGGAATTACTCTCATGTTCCTTCTTATTTTTGGTTCAATTCCTCAACCATTAGACAGACTTTATTTACAACCCGCCCCATAGAAGCGACGTTTGTCTCATTAAAAATTATAATATACAGATTTTAACCTTTTTTTTCCCCTTTGTGAAGATTATATTGAAGGAAATGATATTTTTAGTTATTAATTTTCAATGTATATGAATAATTTATATACGCGTTTGATAAATCGAGTCTCCCTTATTATTTTTTGCCATATTTGAATATATATGGATGTTTAGGTGTATATTAATTTGTATTTGCATAATATTTTTTTTTACGGAAATATCTTTTGTTCATCAGTTTATATATATTTTTTCCACGTGTTTTCATTTTTATTATTATTTTTATTATTAGTTACTGGTAGTAATATTGAAGGTTAGTTAATACATCGTGTTTTGTTTTCATTATAGGTTCCGTGATTTGAGTTTTGTACCTCTCTCTCTCTCTCTCTCTCTCTCTCTCTCTCTCTCTCTCTCTCATTAAGGAACACATAAACGGCCTCGTGTTGGTAACGGTGAAGGGCGGAAGGACTAACCTATACCCTGCCTTCAGTTACCGCCCGCCAACGCCGCCCCTCACCCGCCAACGCCGCCCTCACCCCGTCAACGCTGCCCCTCACCCCGTCAACGCCGCCCCTCACCCGCCAACGCCGTCCTCACCCGCCAACGCCGCCCCTCACCCCGTCAACGCCACCCCTCACCCGTCAACGCCTGCCTCTCACCCCGTCAACGCCGCCCTCACCGCCAACGCCTTCCCCCGCCAACGCCGCCCCTCACCCCGCCAACGCTGCCCCTCACCCGTCAACGCTGCCCTCACCCCGTCAACGCCGCCCCTCACCCCGTCAACGCCACCTCACCCCTCACCCGTCCCCCCTCACCCCGTCAACGCCGCCCCTCATCCGCCACGCCGCCCCTCACCCCGCCAACGCCGCCCCTCACCCGCCAACGCTGCCCTCACCCCGTCAACGCCGCCCTCACCCCGTCAACGCCGCCACTCACCCCGTCAACGCCGCCCCTCACCCGTCAACGCTGCCCTCACCCGTCACGCTGCCCCTCACCCCGTCAACGCTGCCCCTCACCCCGTCAACGCCGCCCCCTCCCGTCAACGCCGCCCTCACCCCGTCAACGCCGCCCCTCACCCGTCAACGCCGCCCTCACCCGCCAACGCTGCCCTCACCCGTCAACGCCGCCCCTCACCCGCCCCCCTCACCCGTCAACGCCGCCCTCACCCCGCCAACGCTGCCCTCACCCCGTCAACGCCGCCCTCACCCGCCAACGCCGCCCTCACCCCGTCAACGCCGCCCCCCGTCAACGCCGCTTTCCCTGTCAACGCCGCTCTCTGATTCTTGTGGACACTCTTAATGTGACGTAGCCAGAGTGCCTCAGTGAGAGAGAGAGAAGATAAAGAAGAGGAGGAGGAAATAAAGGAAGGTGATAGAGAGGATAAGATAAAGGAAGGAGGAAGAGGAGAAGGATATAAAAGAAAATTGAAGTGGAAAATATGATGGGTGATGGAAAGGGGAGAAAGAGGAGGAGAAGTGGATAAATGATGAGAAAAGGAAAATGGGGATGATAGTTGACACTCGACGAAGAGAAGAGAAAGTGGAGAATAACGGAGGGAAGGAGAGAAGGGAAGAAGGGAGAGGAGGTAGATGGAAAAGAAGAAGAAAAGAGACAGGATGAAATATGATGTGAAGGTAGAGAAGAGGAAGTGTTGTGTCGTGTCTTCATAATAATGGGGTTATATAGATGAGTTATATACTGGGGTTATATATATATATATATATATATATATATATATATATATATATATATATATATATATATATATATATATATATATATATATATATATATATATATATATATATATATATATATATATATATATATACTGGGGTTATATAGATAAGATTATTACTTTAGTGACCTTTTGCAGTACAGACTGACTGACTGACTGAATACACCATTGAATTTAGTATCCCACTGGCTGTGTACACGATCTGAATGTTACATAGATGCATTCATACGCACATTCATGCATACATCCATACATACATACATACCATATTTACTCCATTCAGTAGAGGCTAACGTGCATTCACTAAGAGTACGATATTTACACCTAAGGTATTATGTAAGATTAAACTAAACTTGTTGACTTAAGGTAAAATACATCCAGAAATAACTTGAACATTATACTGAGACTTTACCTTAACTGGTTACGTTCACTTAGCAACAGTTAGGGAACAAGAATGATGTTAAGATTGTTTCATAAACTATTATTTTACTGTTTGTAGTCTCTTAATACTTACAGCCTTAGTTACGAGCAATATTCATCATACGAACCTTGGAGAATTCGGACATTGGTTACTTGGGGTAAAATAATGTTGGTGACGCGCTGGCCAGTAAGACATGCACACAAAATGACAGACATGCACGCACGCACCCAAGTACGCTCTCACGAACGCACGCACGCACGCACGCTCGCACTGTAATCTATGCAGTTAGTCCACTGTAATTAAATAACGATACGTGTAATCACTTCAGCAATTGCCAGAAATAATGATTTGCAGCTGTTGATGTTGATAATTATGTTGAAACTACAGCGGCAATTATTGCTGTAGCTGTTGCTGTCAGCGGTGGTACCACCACTGTAGCTGCTGTTGTTGGTTATGTTACTACTATGGCAAGGTTTGTTGGTGGTGTTGCCAACACTACAACAGCTGTCAGCGGTAGGGTTTCGCTACTGGTGTTATCACTGTTATAGCTGTTGTTGTTGTCAACGCTACTGTTGTTGTAGTCACCGCTACTGTTGTTGTTGCCACAGCTACTGTTGTTGTTGTCACAGCTACTGTTGTTGTGGTCACCGCTACTGCTGTTGGTGGTTCTCCCCCATGTTCCTACGACTCGTATGTATGTATGTCACAACTCTGCCTGGCGGAGAAACCCTAATTTTGGAATAGATTTGTTTAAAAAATGGTTTCTTCTGGTCTAAGAAAAGTGACTTTGATTAAGGTCTCCACACGCAAGCACACACACACACACACACACACACACACACAAAACAGATTCTCCATTTCAAAACCTTAATCGACAAGGGCAGGCGATGGGTCCACATGAAATACTGGAATCAATGAGTGCCTCATTAATGTCTGACTGTATAGACGTTTGTCTGTGTTAAGTGTACCGCGTCCGTGTGGTAGAGGTGGGTAAGGGTGGCTCCAGAGATGTCCTTTTGGACGTGAAGGATGTTGGTAAAGGAGGTAGAAGGGTTAGTGGTGGAGGTGGGGGTGGTGGAGGGTTATGGTGGGTGGGGTGGTGGAGAGTTGATGAGGTGGAGGTGGGGGTGGTGGAAGAGGTTAGTGGTGGAGGTGGGGTGGTGGAAGGTTAGTGGTGGAAGTGGGGGTGGTGGAAGGGTTAGTGGTGGAGGTGGGGTGGTGGAAGGTTAGTGGTGAAATTGGGGTGGTGGAGGGTTTAGTGGTGGGTGGGGGTGGTGGAAGGGTTAGTGGTGGGGTGGGGGTGGAAGGGTTAGTGGTGGAGGTGGGGGTGGTGGAGGTTAGTGTGGTGGAGGTGATTGAGGTGGAAGTTAGTGGGTGGAGTGGGGGTGGTGCAGAGGGTTAGTGGTGGAGGTGGGGGTGGTGGAAGGGTTGGTGGTGGAGGTGGTGATGGTGGAAGAGTTGTGGTGGAAATTAGAGTGGTGGAGAGAGGTTAGTGGTGGAGGGTGGGGTGGTGGAAGAGGGTTAGTGGTGGGTGATGATGGTGGAAGGGTTAGTGGTGGAGGTGGTGAAGTGGTGGAAGAGGGTTGGTGGAGGTGGGGGTGGTGGAGAGGGTTAGTGGGGTGGTGATGGTGGAGAGGTTAGTGGTGGAGGTTGGGGAAGGGGAGAGTTGATGGTGGGTGGGGTGGTGAGAGGTTAGTGGTGGAGGTGGGGGTGGTGGAAGAGGTTAGTGGTAGAGGTGGTGATGGTGGAAGAGGTTAGTGGTGGAGGTGGTGATGGTGGAAGAGGTTAGTGGTGGAGGTGGGGGTGGTGGAAGAGGTTAGTGGTAGAGGTGGTGATGGTGGAAGAGGTTAGTGGTGGAGGTGGGGGTGGTGAAAGAGGTTAGTGGTAGAGGTGGGGGTGGTGGAAGAGGTTAGTGGTAGAGGTGGTGGTGATGGAAGAGGTTCGTGGTGGAGGTGCAGGGGTGGAAGGGGATTAGTGGTAGAGGTGGGGAATTGGTGGAGAGGTTAGTGGTAGGGAATTGGTGGTGATGGAGGAGTGTACTGTGGTTGTTGGGGTTGGCGGTGTGGCACCAGAGTGGATGAGGACAGACACACACAGCTCACTCCACAAAAACACTATATTAGCATGTCTTAGTCCACTCCCCCCTTCCTCCCTTCCTCCTTCCCTCCCTCTTTCTTATACTCACTCTGGCTTCCCTCCATATACTCACCTTAGTTCCCTCCCTCTCTTCTCTCCTTTACTCACCCTTTTTTCCTTCCCTCTCTCTCCCTCCTTCCCTCCTTCTCCTTTCCTCACCCTGGCTTCTTTTCTTAACTCTCCCCTCCATACACTTGAACACTATATTATTGAATGTAACACTGTCAAAGACTTCAGGCCACCTGGCTTATTGTATCATGAACTATGTAATTACTACAATGAATCAGGAGTGCTTGAAGACATTCTTGCTGTCTATCATAAATTTGCTGTTAGTCCACACTGATTAGTCCTCAGATAGAATATGACTTATACTGTATATGAACCTCTGTCCTGTGTGGCAGTGAACAGTGATACCACCCTCAGTGTCTAGACCTGACTGAATTATTTAGAATAGACAAATTGTACTCTAAACTTTGCCAATAAAGTTGTTAAACTAAAATAAAAACTAAAATCCTCGGTCTTGTCTCAGTCCTTGTAGACCTCCCCCTTGCATCCCTCTCTCCCCCTTCCTCACCCGTTTCTCCCTCTCCTAGCCTTGCACTAACCTCCATCCTTCCATCTTCTCACTTTTTCCCTCCATCTATCCTTTCATCCCAGTTCCCTCATTTTTTCTCACCTACAAACTCCTCTCTCACCTTTCTCCACCTCTTTCACCCTTCAATTTCTCACCCTCCTTCATCCCTCTCACTCTTTACTCCTCTCTCCCTCTACCCCCCCCCTCTCTCTCTCTCCACCCTTGTCCACGTACTAGGTAGGTGGTGGGGGGGGGGCGGGTCGTGAGGTGTGCAGTGTAAGTCGTGCATATTGCTGTGGCACTTTTAGTGTTAACTTTTATTTATGAAAGTTAATTGATACTTTGAAAGTTTGGTAGTTCGAGAAATCACCTAAAATGTGGACACAATTGAGTTGTGCCAAGTTTATTGTTTCAAGCAATTTTTATGCCCTCTGCTAACTGTGGTGAGGGCCCCGGGGCGTTACTTGTTGAACTGTTTTTATGTGAGTCCAACCGTCCGTGCGTGCGTCCGTCTGTCCATCCGGGTCAGGTTTTTCAGCAAGTCGAGGGCATATGTTTTACAGTTAACTACTGATACTCTCCTCAACAGCATTGTGTCAAATTTGTTTTATCAACTAATGAAGTTAGTTGATGCTAATTGTACTGGCGTTAAATTGATCTATTTTTAATAAATTAGTTCACAAGCTCTCGTGTTCTGTGTGGAGTATTGCTGGGAGAATTCTTCTATTGATAAATGAGTCGGTGAATGAGTGCACTGTGAATAAAGTTACCTAGTAAATTATTAAACAATTTCAGCAAATTTTAAGACTTCGTCCAGTAGTGTTAGCGAGCGTGTTCTATTTGGATTAGTGTGGGGGGGGAGGGGGGCTTTCAGAGGATTTATGAGTGTAGTGTACAGTATGTATATTTACCTCATAAACTACTAACCAGTTATAAGACTGAACCTTGTGTTTACTGTCGTGTATTGTTGGTGATTACCTGGGGGAAATATTCTTATTATGGATAAATGAGTCGACGAAGTACTGTATAAGATATATATATATATATATATATATATATATATATATATATATATATATATATATATATATATATATATATATATATATATATATTGCAGGTATCGTTAACCAAACATGTCGGCTGAAGAGTTATGCTCTGGGTTGAACTAATGGAGACTGTCGACGCGGCTTTGATTGGGCGTTACACACCAACATAAAATTCCCCAAAATGTATTGACTGAACGAAACTTTTGCGAAAAAAAGTATATATAATAGCGTCCTCATCAATCTGGAACTGAGCGTTACTGTGTGATTATTAATTCAGGAATTGTGACTGCCGGAGTGACAGTTTTGTGTTTTTTTTAACTGAGGTGTAATGTTGTTGACATATTTTGTATTTATAGTCAGTG